AAAAATAAGATGCCACGAAATTAGTGATCTCTCCTGCGGCACCACCATTCGAAAAATCCCCTAACCCATTAGAGATTTTGGCCAGGAAACTAGGTCGTCGCCACAGAGAGATGGCCCGCACTCTAGTAGCAATTAAAAATTTTAAATATTCTTTCTGTTCAGCGGACAGAATTTAGCAAACTTGCATTGGCCACTTTCAAAAATAGATCAAAGTGAAATTTATGTTGAAGATTTTTTAGTTTTTTTTGGGAAAGCCAAGCAGGCGGATGCTAATAGTGGGACGACAGGGCCAAAAATAAATTCCCAATGCAGGCGAGCCATTTGGAGTTGGATTCTGTCCATCAACGCGCCGAGTCCATGCTAAATGAGCTGCACCCCCCGCCAGTCTGAAAACCCCATTGCATCGGCGTGTGAACATTAGTCAAAAATGCGTAAATGAAATCAATTAAAATTACGCATAGCACACGAAACGCATTCGGAATGGAAAACGCTCTCTGTATGTTTACACATTCTGCCTACGCGCTCTGCATGGCCTAATGAAGGCACGTCCCCATATCCATACCATATACCATACCGATCTTTAGAGGAGTGGGAATTGGTAAGGGGTAAGGGTTGAACCCGAGTGCAATCGGTAATGGCCAAAGCCAGAAGAAGAAGAGCGTTTGGGGCAGGGGATCACTGGAGTGCCACTTCAATTTGTTTACAACAAGTTGGCCCGCTGATTGCAGCTGGGCCTCATCTTTTTCACACTCTAAGAAATCAATTTTTTATCTATTAGGAGAGGTGTTTTAATATTATCAAAATTCCTTTTAAAAGGAAAATGGATCCTAACCAACATTCGAGCATTTATTTTTTATAAATTAATGTATTTAAATATTTTCCTAAAAATTAACCTTAAGTTCATTTTTAACCTACTGATCCTACTGATCTATAAATGAACTTAAGTTACATTATCTGTACAAAACTTCCTTCTTTTCAAAACTATTTTCTCGCAGTGCATAATTTTCTGCTTAATCATATCGCTTCGTTTTGCTTTTGCCTCCTCAAACGCGCATCTCTCACGGACAATGCAGCTTTAATTTTCTTTGGGGCCATATCAGATCAGGCCAGCACCGACCAGAACCGATCCGTTTCCAGCCAAGAGATGAGAAATGAAAACTCATCGTATAATAGCACTGTCAATGGCCAACGATTTGTGGGCCCCCAGGTGTTGGCTGAAAGTGGAGATCTTCACTTCAATTTGGGCATAAATGCAGCATAATGATCTCGCTCTCTCGCCGGCCAAAGAATAGCCACAAATTGCTGGGATCACATCAATTTTTGTGTCTGCTGCAGCAGGCACCAACACCATCCATCCCGCCGTGGCACCTTCTTTTGCCCACGAAAACTTTTTTGTTTTTTTTTTCACAAATAACTTAATTTCAAGTTTCTAGGATATGGCCCTAATGAAGAAGCCAAGTGATTGGTTGATGGATTCCCATATTTGTATTATTTTTAAAAAATGTTCTTGAGGAGTGAAAAGAAGAGTGGAAATGATATTGCTAATTGAATTGGGAAAGAGTCGAGGAAAATCCAAATTTAATTTTTTAATTCATTTCCAAATAAGAAAAACCAATGAATTAGCAAACTTTTCCAAAAATCCATTCTCATATATCACAATCTTTCCAACACCAGCACTGCAGTTAACTGGCCTCTTTTGTTATTATTTATGGCTTCATGCCACGATGTTTGTTTTTGCTATTTCAGCCAAATGTGCAACGCGGATGGCCACACAGGGCATCCAAATCCCGCCCAGACTTCCCAGACGCAGTCATGCATCTATGATGATTATTTATATAATCAAACGCATGAATTTTCCAAATATTTTTCTTACTAGCCGAAGTCTTCAACGTTTTGACTGACGTTTGATTTGTAATTGAAAAAGGCAAATGCATAATTTCTAGCTCTTTATGTTTTCAGCTTGGCCGAATGACAGCATTTTGGGTGGTCCCCCCACATAAAAATGTATATATTTTTCAGCCTAGTATGAGTTTTGCGCAATTCTCGATTTCAAAGACCTAGAGTTCCGCGTCCGATGAACGATCTGTAGACTAGCGAAAAAAAAGAATTCTTCACTCGCAATTGAAGATTTCCTGTTTTGGTATGAGGGGGGGCCAAACCTCATCATGATCATGATGCTCATTATGAGAAGATTCTATAGAAAGCACTTAAATTGAATAATGTCACCCGAAAGCGCTGAAATTGATGGAGCCGCTCCGCTGAGACGGCAATTTCGTTCGAGGATGACTTTGGTATGGCATACCCAAGGGGGGATGGGGATTCCAAAATAGGGTTGGGGATGAGGATGGATGGTTGGAGACGACGACGACAACGACGACGGATGCTCACTCGGCCGCTCACTTGGTTGGTGATATGTCAGCAGCCACGTTGGCATGTAATTCAATACGGGCCGCCCGACGACGGAACGGACTGATAAATGCCAAAGTGTGAAGAGGCGCAGCATTTCGGATAAATGTATTGTCTACAATTTCAGCAGAGACCGGGAAAAACCACAGAACTGGGAAGCCAAAATCAGAAAGAATGTGCGATAAGGTATGCTAAAAGTGATGGACGCTGATCGTGATAACTAACAGGAAACTGTGATGCTTATAAAATAAGATGTTATTATTAAAAATGATAATAAAACTTATAAAAAGTGTGTTTTAGGGGAAGTTAATAGACTCTTTCTTTGAGAATATAATAAAACGTTTTATGATTTCAGATCATGTGGTAGTTTAATAGCTAAAAGTGATGGAACTTAACGGTGATAACTATCAGAAAACATTCTTTAAGAATGGTGTTTCGATTTGAAGTACATTATGTGCTTAGTTATGATCATATCATAGCATCATCACTGTGATCATTATAATATTTCCCTAAGAAAACATGGAATAACATTTCAATTTAAATTACTTCTTTCCAACTATTGTCTCCATAAACTTGTGTCACGCTCTCATCTCTATACGTAATTACAAAGAACCAGCGACAGGCCCAGAAACATAACAGACACCACAGTGATAGAGATGCCGATGCCCAATGATAAAGAAAGACAGCGACGATCTCAATCTCGCAGAGGCCACGGATCTCTGGCGGCCAGTGAAAAAGGGTCGTCAAATATGAAGTGCTCGCTGGGGCAGACCAACAACAATAACAACAAAAATCTCCAAAATAAAAGCAGTTTATGCTTTTTTTTTAGTATTCTTTAGTTTCTTGGCGTATCTACATATATTTTTATGCTGTTCGTATTTGGGGAACCTTCGAAATGTGTGTCCAAAATGAAAGGAGAGAGAGGGGAAAGGGAATGGGAGAGGGCAGTTGAGGACGAGAAGACAGCCGCTTTGGGAAACAGACAACGCAAATCAAATTGTAAAAGTGTTAAAGGCTGACACATACGAGTGTTTGACGCGTCCCCACACCAATAACACAAGATGGTTGTGTGGTGTAGCTAAATACCTGACAGTATTTGAGTGTGTGTGTGGTGTATCACTTTCAAAAGAACGTTTGACAGTCAAGGGCCAAAAAAGCAGAAGCGAACATTCGCCGACAGCTGCAAAAGAGCTTTTTAAAGATCTTTAGAAATAATCCACATGTGACTAAAACTAAATCCTATGACAGAAGGGAAGGCTAAATCTTTGGCAAGGAATTAAAAATAGTTCACAGAATATATTGCATATCCCTTGAGCTTCATCACATAGCCAATACTTACTACCTGATGTTTCCATTTCCTAGTTAAAGAAACGTAACATACCTTTCAGCTAGCCTGTTTTCCTGATATTTATGGCTTGCAATATTTAATCAATTCCATAAATAAAATCAACCTACATTCCTTTTAAATCGAAAAAACAAGCATTTAGCAAACACAGGTTAAATTAGATATTGTCAAGTTTAACAAGAGGAAACGCTATAGTCGAGTTCCGCGACTATAAGATACCCGTTACTGTTTTAAACAATTTTAAAATATTAATTTTGCTAGTGGAAATTACCCAAGCGCCACCTATTGTCGGGGAAAGCATGTCACGTAGCTGATAGTGACGTCACTGCCCATGTGAGGCCTTATAACCTAAATTTCTTCATAAGTAGCGAAATAATGTCCCGATTTTAAAAATCTTTGGTAATTCGTTGCATAATAACAGAAATAAGTTACACAAGGTCAAACGAAGGCATTCATAATATTATTATAGACGCCACAGTGTCCCACGGTTTGTAAGAGTTAGAATGGGCGTGGCCGGATGAAAACTCGTGGGAAGTTGCAGTGGCATCCCTAAAATACGTATTCTTAACTAACTTCCTTTCTTAACCTAACTTTCTAGCTCTTTTAGTTCCCGAGATTTTTGCCTTTTTGGTTTTTTGGGTTTTGTGGGCGTTACGGTGGGAGTGGCTAGATGGAAAAAACAATTCGCATTTGGGGCATCATAAAAACCTACATGCTTAATCCGATTTTCTATCACTTATAGTTACCGAGATATCAGGTTTTCTTGAAAATGCGACAACCGTCTTTTGAGCCTGGTGCGCGTGGCAGGATGCTGAAATAAATGCTTAATATCAACTAAGTATCTGCTATAGTTCCTGAGATCTCAGCGTTCATACGGACGGACGGACGGAGGGACGGACATGGCTCAATCGACTTCGTCATTGATCCTGATCAAGAATATATATACTTTATAGGGTCGCAAACGGTTCCTTCTATCTGTTACATACTTTTTTTTTACTCTACGAGTAACGGGTATAGAAATATTCACCTGACTAAATGTGCTGGGCAATTACCATCTACATCCAACCATCAAACAGCGAAAAACCCGTTGATGCTAATCATTTTATTCTATTTTTATTTCACGTGAATCTAAGGCTAAGATTTAATTTCTGAAGTATTTTTAATATAGTGTAAGTTTAATATTATAAGAGGTTGTGTGGCGATCCTCATGTTGCCTCATAGAATTTGTAAATCCTGACTTGAACTTTGATACTTGATACTAAGCCATTTTCTCTGAAAATAACTTAATTTGCATCCATTAAAGTAATTAGGTAAACCACAAAATATTGCTCTATTAACTTATCAACTAATTGATGTTTGCGTAAGTACTATAATCTAGCCAAAATGTATGCTGTTAAATGCTTTTAGATATAGTCGATGTTAGTTTAAATCTAAATCAGTTCTTTTTCGGACCTCCAGCCTAAGAGATGAAGAGAGAACTCTATTTACTCGTCGCTTTCCTGGTGAATGTACACTTGATCAGAGAGGTAAAAAACCCATTTCATTTATTGAAAATCGAAATCGAAAACTCATCCCTGTGAACTGTACCTTGCAGGTTCAATCTCTAGTTGAGTTTACGAACATCAAATGTGAAGTGGTGGACCCCGAATTCTGTAATTTCGAATATTGCTATTTGAAGTCTGTGAACCGAACCTACAAATACTGTGATCTAAAAGTGAATCTCTATAAAACTCCGGTAACCAAAGTGAAGGTAAGCAGTGAAATATGTTGAAAAGACATTTTAAATTTCGAAGGTTTAATACAGCTTAACTCTGCCATTTATAAGTTTGCCAATGGCTATAAGCCTTTCATGTACAATGTTACTGTTGATGCTTGCAAGTTCCTAAAAAATCCAAAATCCAACCCGGTTACTGGCTACATCCATGGTTTCTTCAAGGACTTTTCCAATATGAACCACTCTTGCCCCTACGACGTAAGTGACTTTTTTTAACTGAACAATTTGCTAAACATCAGATTACAGCATGACCTTGTGGTGGATAAACTGTCAACTCAGTTTTTTAATGACCGAGTGACTAAGATTCTGCCTTTTCCGGAGGGAAAGTACATGGTCCATATGAACTGGATTGCCTATGACACTATCAGAGCTGTGTTTAAGCTATACCTCCAAATATTGTAAAACATAAGAACATAAAGAATCCGAATAAAATCTGATGCTAATCTCATATCCTTCTCCTATTTTACTTTTATCTTCACTGAGATTTATTTTCTGAAGTATTTTTTAATGTTTGCACTTAAAAGTCTAACTTAGACTTTTGCTTAAAATTAAACTTGATGTCCAGAAGCATTTTAGGGGCTGTTATTTCTGTTATATTATAAGATAATATGATATACACATACTTATACAAATAATACATACATTCAAAAAGCCTCTTAACGAATAAAAGTTTGGTGACGAATGCAATTGCAGCAAAGTTAAGTTCTGATATTATGCTTTTTCTATCAAGATTTATTTTACAATTTTTTGTAAACCAACAGTCTTGTTATTAGTTTTCCCATTTTAACATTTTTTTATCACGCAATAATTTAATATACAAATTTAATTTTTCTATCCGTTCTGTTATTTGTAACCTACAAACTGGGTACATTTTATATTTTAATTGTAGTATAATAAGTAGTTAAATTATTAAATGTTAAAAACCGCTTATCTTTCTATGTTTTGTTTTGATCCTTTTACCTCAAAAAATTTTAGACCTTCATTCGCACTGAAATAGACTTTGGACTTTTTTCGAAAATTACTGTCATTTCACGCAGAAGAGTTCGTTAATAACTAGTAATTATACAAAAAATATTTCATTATTGCAATTATTAACTAATTCTAATTACTGTTCTATTCTAAGTATTTATTGGTTTCTAAACGATTTTCGATTCGGTTAGTTCAGTTTTTATGGAGACATCAACCATAAAAGATGAATGGAAAAATACATTGCCTCGTCGTTTTCTTGGTGAATTTTCATTTGATCAGAGAGGTAAAAAATGATTTTAACTTATGGAAATTTTAAACCGAAAAATATTCCCTGTGTGCAGGTTCATTCTCTAGTTGAGTTTACCAACATCAAATGCGAAGTAGTGGACCCCGATTTCTGCAACTTTGAATATTGCTATCTGAAGTCGGTGAACCGGACCTACAAATATTATACGGTAAAAGTGAATCTCCTTAAAATCCCGGTAACCAAAATTAAGGTATGCAGTTGCAATTGTTTGAAAGATGTTTTGAATTTCAAAAGTCTAATACAGATTAACGCTGCCATTTATAAGTTCACCAATGGCCATAGGTCCTTCATAAACAATGTTACTGTCGACGCATGCAAGTTCTTAAAAAACCCAAAATCAAACCCAATTTTTGGCTACATCTATGACTACTTTAAGGATAATTCTAATATGAACCACACTTGCCCTTACGACGGAAGTATTGTATATAAATGACTGAATAACTTGATAAAGATTATATCTTAGCATGACCTTGTGGTGGATAAAATAACAACTGAGTTTTTTAATCACCGAATGACTTCTGTTCTGCCTTTTGCGGAGGGAAAGTACTTGTTACAAATGAACTGGATAGCCTATGACATTATGCGAGCCGTGTTTAAGATATACCTCTCAATGGCTTGAACATCATAATAAGCTGAAAATGTATTACTGATGTCATACACTGTGAACATACCTTCAACAATAAAAATATAAGGAATCAGAACAAGAGAAAACGCTATAGTCGAGTGGCGCCCGTTACTGTTTTACACAATTTTAAAATATTCATTTTGCTAGTGGAAATTACCCAAGCGTCACCTATTGTTGGAGAAAGCATGTCGCGTAGCTGATAGTGACGTCACTGCCCATGTGAGGCCTTATAACCTAAATTTCTTCATAAGTAGCGAAATAATATTCCGATTTTAAAAATCTTGGGTAAAGCGTTGGATATTAACAGAAAGAAGTTATACAAGTTCAAACGAAGGCATTCATAATATTATTATAGACGCCACAGTGTCCCGCGGTTTGTGGGCGTTAGAATGGGCGTGGCCGGATAAAAACTCGTGGGAAGTTGCAGTGGCATCCCTAAAATACGTATTCTTAACTAACTTCCTTTCTTAACCTAACTTTCTAGCTCTTTTAGTTCCCGAGATTTTTGCCTTTTTGGTTTTTCGGGTTTTGTGGGCGTTAGGGTGGGAGTGGCTAGATGGCAAAAACAATTCGCATTTACTCTACGAGTAACGGGTATAAAAAGCATCTACATAAATTACCAGAAGCTATGCCAGTAAGCCAGCGAGATTTAAGAATAATGATCGTTAAAAGCCCGGACCATAAATAATTTGTGAACAAATGTTGTGTGAATGTTATTCCACACCAGACTCCTACGCTAATGCTAATTCCAAAGAATGACATCTTCTTAATTAGCCCACAAATTTGTTAATAGCAAAGTTAAATCAATAAATAATTTATATCTCTAGCCGCCCACACGATCTTCAATCTGAAAATGTTAATTGCTGGGGCAAACAGAACAATGGACATGACTTTAACCAGCCCAGCCAATGGCCTCGAGGAATGCGCTGGAATCACCCGAAAAAACCCAAAGAAATCATGAAAAATAAAAAAGAACAAAAGCTTGGACTCAGAAAGTAGAACAAGATCGATTGCTGATTTGATTTCTTTTGATTATATATATATATTTGGTTAGCTTACTATTGTTTGGATCCACAACCGTATCGAAATTTAAAGTTTGAAGCCAGCTTGTTGTGGCCAAAATGTTTTATGACTGCCACACGTTGGTTTTTGAAGGAATCAAATCAACTCTCTGGCTCTGACTAATTTGCATTCGATGCGGAAGCCAGAAAACTGCTGGTCATTGTCTTGTTCTGACCAAAAGTAATGAGAAACTCGCAACATGTTGCCAAGAATAAGTTAGAGATCAAGAATAAGTCAAATTTTAAGTTTTCTTTATATTTATTAAGATTTTCATGATTCTTTTTAGGTTTTTGTTAACAGCATGGTTAGGCTTAAGCCACAAGGAGTTCAAATACATAAATATATAAATATGTTATATAAGATCACCAAATTTGACAACTTTCGCCCTTAGGTTGACAACCAAAAGCCTTATAAAACGGATCGTAGTTTTTAACAATTTGATTCAAACGCATTGGACTGTCGTCGTGTTTACGGTATTTAACATCTCTGTTTGTTTGGCAGAAACACTGAGCCGAATTAAGAAAGAACAATTTTATCCGTGTTGAGATCAGTGGAATTTCTTTGGTTTAGGTTGTTAATAAAGGAGTACGTGGCATACGCTAGTTTTAGACCATCCACATCCGCCATACGCATAGTATCAGAGATGGTTATTTCGCTATTTATGCACCGCAAGCCCGACTGGAATTGAGGCAAGTATATAATTTCCAGGCCAACGCTCTGAAAATTTCCATTGGTATCGAAAAAGAGATTATTCGAGTCAATGGCATGCATTAACTCATGACCGAGAAATAATCCCATCAGGCTGTATTTAAACACATCCTGGCTGTCCGACGTGAACAACGGCTCCTGCAGGATTTCATATGGCAATACGACCAAGTTCTGAAGAGGTACGTAATATATATATGTTGGCCTAGGGGTATCCTTTATTTTCTTAGGCATTTGAAAATATTTTCCAGTACTAAGTATATTACTTAGGAATAGATGGCTGGAATCCGCCTTCGGAACTGAAGAGGACGCCACAATTTTTGCAAACAACACGAAAATAATCACCTTCATTGCTGGAAACTGTAAGTTCGTTTACTGGACCAGCAAAGAAATCTCAGCTCTTATATACTCTGAGCTGATATTAATCTTAGAATTGGATCTTTTTTATAATTCCAAGCCATTGGATGAGGAGCCTATCAGGTTTGAGAAAACATATATTCAAGCTATAACGTCATAATATTTCTACTTATCAAAAAGAATTCCCTGCACGCTGAGCGTTGTGGTATATGGTGGCATTTTTCCAACTAAATTTGCGTCACACAAATCTGCAAGAGCAGAAGAAAGTCCTCATTTCTAAGCCAATAATACAAATAAAGATTTAACCCCCTACTTCGATTTGCTCAACTGTACCAACACTCTATTCTTAGATCAATTACAGGCTTTGCCACCATTTCTTGGCCAAACAGGAAACATTATGCAGATCTTCATTACATTTCATTTTGATAAACACGAATGTAGTTGAGCACCGAGACCTGGGTTATTGCCATTTGGGATTTTGGATTCGGGCTTGTTGCTGCCTTTGGCCTAAGTCGCTTTTTGCCCGATGCCCGCCGCCTGATAAACGACCAGGGTTTTCCGAGGAAAACATGGTTATGGCAGCGGGGCCATGGAGGCCAGCTATGAGGTGGAAAGGTGCTACAAAGTAGTGGGAGTGGAGTGGCAGCTTTTGGTTGTGGGAGTCTTTGGCAGAATGTAGGCGTGCCTGCGCAACCGCATAGATGTGGCCGCAACAGAAAACGGGCAACGAAAAGCGCGTGCCTCATAATTGGCAATGTGAGCGGCGAAAAGACGAACCCGCCGTAACACGACAATTATTTGGGCAATGTGGTAAACGGTTTTTCGTTCTTTTTGGGCCTTCTCCTCGTCTCCCCTTCGCTACAGAGTTGCGGTCTCCGCATAACTCGGCTAACAAGCAAAAAACTGTTGACCAAAAATTAAGGCTCGCAATGCGCGTGCAAAGAGTCACAGAAGCAGCAAAAGCACACAGCGAAATGACACATCAGATAAGGCAATATCACCTACCCAGGCGAATGGGAAGCCAAGGCGACACAGCCTGGTCAGAAGGCACTGAGAGAAAATGGAAGTTAACAGATTTTTAAGAACATTTAGAAGATTAAGTTAGTAAATTTAATTTACATCTATCTATTATCCGTTAACATCTTACTATCTAATATTAATTTGAAAATATATTTTCCCTTTTTTCATAGTTTTTAGCAGTGCAGCAAACGAGGCGATGACGCCGTTTGTCTGCCTCGTTGCCACAGCCACAACCACAGCAGCAGGAGCAAAGCGAGAGCAAGATGCAACAATTGATTGCCAGAGAAGGAACCCAAGTCCAGTCAGGAGCTGAACAATGCGAGGCTGCTGCTGTTGCTGCTGCTGCTGCGATTCCAA